AAGGATAAAAAAGCATTAAAAATCACATGGGGTCTGGAAAGTAAGCACAATTTGTCATCTTAAACTCGCTTGCCCTCTATTTTTAGGCTAATGCATGCGTAGTTTAGGTATCCCATCGCTTATCAGCTACAGATGTTTAAATTTAGATTCAACCAGCAAACACTTCAACAATGATAAATCACATCACGGAAAGAACCAACGATTTCAAATAACATTAACGGAGGCAGATATTGAACAGCTCATCAAATTTCATTTCATACAATTAAAGCCCCCTTTTGGGGCTCACTTCATTAAAAATTTTCAATTAAATGGCAATGCACACATTAATTTTTATCCCAAACCTCTATAAACATCAAACCAGAAACAAATAAATGATGCAAGCTAAGTTTAACCCCACAAATTAGAGGGTCTGCCATTGATGCTAACTAGCGATTTAATCCGCAAACGAACGTTTCTAAATTATCCCATCTGCTCAGAACAAAAAATCAAACAGTTCATATAAAACAAACTTCTTTACCTTGAACTTCAAACTTAATCCCAAGAATTTCACAAATTAATACCCACGCCTTTCATCTAGGATACATTAAAACTTAATCCAAAGCATCCCCATTTTCAGTTCCATTTATTTTCTTATTGGCAGATAAACCATTTTGGCAAAGATATTACCGTAATTAATCATGATTAAGGAAAATAATAATAATATTAATAATAATCCACACGGACTTTTGCTAGTATTTCCAATGAAAAGTTAGCTTCTTTCCCACAGAATCAACAACAAATAACAATATTCTGAGATTAGGAGACAAATTATCATCTAGGAATTTGCTAATCCTGAGTTTGATTGCTAAAAGTTCTGCAGAAAAACAAACAGAGAAGTAAGTTCAAAAAGATTAAAAAAAAAAAAACGAAAGCTCACAGCAGCCAAATGAAGCTAATCCATTAATTAAGAAGTCAAAACTGAAATGAATTATCTTATGTTTCTGCTATTAAAACAGAGCACAAATGGAAACTCAATCAAGAAAGTAAGTTAGATTACGTAAAGTCAACGTTATAATAATTTCATCCAACTCAACCCGCACCGATTTCAAAATCCTCAGAGCTTCATTTTCCACAGCTAAAAACACACAAAAAAAAAAAACTCTCGATTTGCAGATTAATTCATAATTAAAGCATCGATTAGGCAGAGATTAACGCAAAGCTAGTTAATAGATGTCCTCAAAGGAAAGGAAAGGAAAGGAAAGGAAAGGAAAGGAAAGGAACTTACCCGGATTAACCAGAAACAAAGAAACGAGGAGTGGAATGGAGGCGATTATTAATGAAGTCTGAAAATTTTAAGACACGAAAATTCAGGGGGAAATAAATGGAAAAAGAATTATTAATATAACTATAAATAAATAAGGGTGGGGAAAATTTACTTCTAAAATTAGAAAAATAGAAAAAACCGGAGAGAACACACGTGCCTATCTCCTTCTCTTCTTACAGACTAGATCCATCTGTACCCTCTCTCTTTCTCT